TCTCTGGTTGACTGGCAAATCACCAATTAATACAGATACATTGAACCCTTATAATGTTATCATTTAGCATTAAAATTTGACCTATTTTATTATGAAAATTTAAAAATTTTTAGTGCACATTTTTTGATCTTTTTTTAGAGTTAGGGGTCGACTTCATAGATAAAATTTATAAAAATAGGTTTTAGTTGGTTGTATAGATCTAAATTAAGACCTCAACATTTAATATGAATACATTGCACCCTTAATTTTATTATTTAATGCAGGTACTATAGCATCCTTATAATATTATTATTTAATGCGAATATATCCTGCAGATATATTGCACCCTTATAATAATATTATTTAATGCAATCACATTGTACTCTCATAATAGTGTTATTTAATGTGAATATATTGCACCCTCATAATGGTATTATTTAATGTAGGCACTTTAATCCTCATAATATTATTTAATGCAGATATATTGCACCCTTATTATATTATTATTTAATGTGATTACATTGCACCCTCATTATTTATTATTTAATAAGAGTACATTGTTACGACTTGGGAAAGCTTTTATATATCTAAGCCAATTTAGTTCAGTGCTATAAGTATAAATCCTGATAGTAAGTTGCACAATCCAGATTTGTTTATAGTAGTAATTATTGAATTAAATAAGTATCATAGGGACTATACTTAGATTATATCATCGCTTCTATTAAACTATATCTATAAAGGATCATTATGGGTTACATTCAGATTATTTAGAGGTTCAAGTTGAGTTATTATAGGTTACAGTTAGGTTCCTTAGGGTCTAAGTTAGGTTGTTATAGGTTATAGTTAGATTCCTTAGGGTTCAAGTTAGATTATTGTAGATTACAGTTAGGTTTCTTAGAGTCCAAGTTAGATTATTATAGGTTACAATTAGATTTCTTATACAGGTCGAAAGAAGCCATACTAGAGAAATATCAGAATGCCGATATGCACTGATATGAATAATAATGTGAGTCGAAGATGTACTGATATTAATTGCTAATTTTTAACTAGAAGGTATCTGATATTAATCCAGAGTTTGGCAGAAATCAGATATCTTTCGAATTTCAATCAAAGGAATATCTGATAATATTGGTAATGCTGATATTAATATTAGAGCAAATCTATTTGTCGCCGACGATAATACGGTAACAATTATGAATCACGTGATTAATATGATCTACGTCCAATCAAATTTAACAAAAATTTACTAACACTAAATACAATTTAATATTGTAGAATAATAATACATATATACGCAAAACTACTAATGAATATATGTCAAAAATATATACTAGCTTGGTGTATTGCAGTTGCTAAATGATATTACTGTAATTTGTTTGATATTATAGTAGAAAACAATAAGCTGAAATAAAATAAATTGTAGTAAAATATTTATTAATTTGAACTTGTATGATTAATCTATAATAAACTAAATTAATCTGTTATTTGCAACAATTTTATAGAAAAATTTTCATTGTTTGCATAATTGCTCAATGCAAAATATTTATTTTTTAGATGCTGCAATAATAAAGTATGTAATATTATCAAAATAATTTAATTCAAGCCTCAAGAATTATATATTTTTTTGGATTATCATCCTAGTACTGTGTATACTACTTGTACTATCTTAAAGAATAACCTGGATATAATACTTTCTAAACAAAAAAAATAATAATTTTAAAGATACATAATATGAATCATAATTGTAGTATGATACATTGATTACTATAAGTTTTAAACTTTTCGATACACAAAAAAAAAGTTATTGCTATAATATACAATTGCAATTATACCATTATTTGATATTGAAAGAGAAAATGAATCCTGTTATATTTATAAATAAAAGATAAGTAATATTTTCAAATAAGTAAATATGGGTTTCCACTTAAAACTTATAGCAGTTTGTAAAATAACACAAAATAATATACATACCTTTTATAACTTTTATAGATCGCAGCCAATATAATCATAACTACCTTATTGTATTTTATAATTTTCGCTTGTTATATCGATATTTGCTAAAATTATCATTTGAAATTAATTATAATGTGAATGCAATATATAAAATTTCATTAAAGATATATTGTTTTTGCAAATTACGATAAATAATCAAGAATAATTAAAGTGCATTTTCAATTAATTATTTTTAAATTTTTAAGTTTTCTAAACCTGAATTGCAGAACAGTATTCTATATTTTTATTTATTCTAATTTCTCATTTCATAGCTCAATATTATTAGTTGTTACTATAATTTGTAACTTTACTTTCTTCACACTTTTTCTACTTTTTACAAGTCGGTGCATAATGTCCAGCACTTTCACATTTACCATATTTGTTTTGTACAATTTTACTAGTAGATTTTTTGCTTTTAGATTGTGATAATTCAACATTACTTTTAAATCGCTTAGTTGGTGGTCGTCCTTTTTGTCGTCGTTCAATTGGATTTTGAACTTGATCAGGATTAAAATTTTCCATCTCATCATTATTTGTATAGGAAAGTTTTTGTTCTTCAGCAAACCAATCATTAAGGCTTCTCTTAAGACGACGAAGAGAATCTCCACCTTTTTCAACTGCAGACCTAACTGCCTTTAGAGCAAGATTAAAAACTTCTCCATAATCATGTCTTTTTTGAACTGCACGACAAACTTCTGGACTAAATACATCATTACTACAGATTTTGTTAATATAGTGCATAGGAAAAAGTTTTGGGCAAGGTAAATAATCTTCATATAGTTGTACTAGGTAAGAATTTAAGTAAGGTTGTTCATCTAAATTTAAATTGCTCATTTTTTCACTTTTATACCAGCGTTTAGGAATCAGCGTTATATGAAAAAATGCTGCATCATCGATAGGCAATATATTCCAAAAATGTCGACAAACTAATCCACAATTAATTAGCATCATGCATGTACATAAATGTGAATAATCAGAAAGAATAATAATATAGTTATTATGAATATAGTTGCGTCATTGAACTTCATATATTTTAACAACATCGTTTGAAGAAAGATCATCTAGAAGGGAGGTTAGGTGAATTTGCTGCTCATCATATCCTTCTTCATTAAATCTCTCATCAGTTAAATTATTACTTTTTATTTTAGAGTAATAATAAAGTGATTGTGCGATTTCATGTCTTTGCCGGAAAAGCATTTCTTTAGTTAGATATTCCTCAAGAACATGGTCTATTTCAGAAAAGCATTCAGCAGAAGCACCACGCAACTATGCACTTGCATTAGCATGATGCCATTTAGTATGATCAGTATATCGTGTTTCATCAAATCGCAAATCTAAAATTATAATTATATTATAAAATTCTATGTTAATTTGTGTAAATTTAGCAAGTTAAATTTAATAAATCTTATTTTTTTTTTAACACTCTAGCCCTATTTTAATTAAATAACTAACAATTTCTATATTTCTTTATACTATTACTAATCATTAAGATTATATAATAATAATTTATATTCATACCTAAGATAGCAGCAAGTTCACAAAGGTTGGGACGACCTTGAAGAATATTTTTTATTACTAAGTTTTCACTTTTAACTCGTGATGTCGATGTGATACCAGCTGTAAAGAATTTGGTCGTATACGCTTTAGCCCATTTTTCTTTACTTGAATAAAGCTCAGAATTGAGATAGTCAGCTGCTTTTAGATACTTTGCAATAAGTTTATACCATTGTAAATCAAACTTTGCGGGTGATAAAATATTTTTACAAGCATAAAAATCTTTTAAAAATTCATTGTAAGTATTATCAAGGGGCGCTTTGAGGTTGCGTATAAGATTTTGTAAAATATGATAAAAGCAATATAGTGGATATGTGCTGTTATAATGAATATCTATAGCAGCATCCATGCCAGGATCAGAGTTAGTAATAAAGACTCGTGGTGTATGATTGGTAGCTTGTAGAGTAGAGATTAGAAGCCACTTATATGTCCCTTTGGTTTCATCATTCACTAAAGCCTGTGCAATTAGATGGCTTCAGAAATGGTTATCAACAGTTACAAATAGAGAAAGTGGCATGTTATATTGATTAGTTTTGTGAGTGTTGTCATTTAATATAACATCGTGAAAAGTGATCCATAGTTAAACTTGGGCTGGCATCATCCAAAATAGTTTTTCCAGACTATTGGTTTCACTGTTAAGTTCCCAAAATACTTCCCATCCCGGTTCTTCAGCTTTTTTGGTAAGCAAATATTTTAAAAGTTTTGATGCATCATTTTCTTCATGATTCATAGTTCTAAATTTTTGTATTAAATTGTGCAAATCCCGCAGATGTATTGTAAATTTAGGAAATTTTGCTGATAAAAGTCGACATTGAATAGTTGCACTGAGGTTGCCTTCAACTGTATAAAAGTGAACTTCTTGTATAACAGCATCAGGGAGGGTTCTGTTTTTTATAGCATATAAGTTTGTTTTGGGATTAAGTGGGTGATTGTGACCAAGATCCACTGATGTTATACTAATCACTGCTGTTTTTTTTAGAAAAGACACATTGATGTGCCAGGAACAACCAGATCTTTTAGATTTACTATTTCTTTGGTCTTCTAGAATTGCAGTCTTCTTAGGCTCATAATTGTCTTAACGATCACATGCAAATGTACGTCTGCGGTAAGTTCATTGCTGATTTTAATAATAACAAAGTTCTCTTGCTGGGCATAGTCATTTAAATATTTCTCAACATCATCCCACAATTGAAAAACTTGCCCGGCATGAAGTGGCATAACAATTTGTTGTAAAGAACTGAATTGTAAGATTAAAAAATTAAATGATAATTAATATTTATTTATCATACGTATAGTAATAAAAAATTACAGTAAATAGTACTTCATATTTTGATTTTTCTGGTGTAAATCTTATTATTATCACGTTTACTAACAAAACCAAAGTTATTAATATTGAGATTAAAAGGTATTAATAATAATAAAATACTATTAATACTAACCACTCAATAATACCTTCAGAATTAAGTAAAGGTTCATTGCTATTTGAACTACTCATATCATCATTATGCTCATTGAATAATATTTCATTACTGCTATCATCGCTCAAGCCATTAAAAAAATTCAAAGCACTAAGAAAATTATCTTGATCATTATTATTGATAGACCTTAAATTATCTATGCTCCTAATACTAGATCGTCCTTTATTATTGCTAACATGATGCACTTCATCATTGCTATCAGGATTCACTTCGTTATTGCTACCAGGCTGCGTTTCATTATGGTTAACAGAATGCACTTCATCGTTATTATCAGGATGCACTTTATCATTGTTACCAGTTCACGTTTTGTTACTACAAGACTGTATTTTGTTGTTACCAGACTGCATTTTGCTATTACCAGGCTGCAATTCGTTGTTATCAGGCTGCATTTCATTGTTACTAGGCTGCAATTCGTTGTTACCAGGCTGCATTTCGTTGTTACCAGGCCATATTTCGTTATTACCAGGCTGCACTTTGTCGTTACCAGGCTGTATTTCATTACCAAATTAAAATATTTCATTGTCACCAGACAGCAGTATTTCATTGCTACTATCAGAACATATTCTTTTTTTTGTAGTATATATTTTTTTCATAGTTATTTTTCTTTTCTGTGATTGTGCTATGTCGTTATAGGTTGGTTTTTTTTTTTTAACGCTATTAATTAGAGATTCAGTGTATATGTCTAGAAAATTATTTAAAATAAGTTGTATTTTACCGCTAACAAGCCCAAAAGAATTTAAAAACTAAAAGAATTCAAACCAACCTCAAGCTTTAAACCCATCTTTCTACCATCAGCTTTCACCTATCACCATCTATCTTAAACACCCAACTCCTAATTTCAAAAAAAAATTTATTACAACTATTTCAGCATATATAGAATTTAGAATTTTTTTTCTTTGTTTCTTTTTTTTATCTTTCTACACCTTCGTCTTGTGAATAATCGTTTAAAATATATACATATATACGTACAGTATGTAACTTTCTAAGTAGAACTTGTGTATTTTTAAACATTTTTATATGAATGTACATATGTAGTACAATGTATATATAGTATTGTATCATGTGATTTACAATATCGCTGTATCACCACCAGTAACAAGCAGATTTTTTCTAAAAAAAAATCAAGTTTTTATGTTCAAATAGCAAGTTTCTGAGAAAATTTATTTATTTATTTATCGTTATTATTTATATATTATTTTTTTTATCTGACTTTTTTATTGTCAACAAATACAAACAGTGGTCTGCATAACTAAAAGGAGGAAAGGCAGTTTATACTAACTCTACTCTCAGACAAAGAATTCATTCTAAGAATGAAAACATACTAGTTGTTGATATTCAAAATTTGAATAACATACCAACTAATGACATCATTGCAGCTCTAGCTATGAGTTTAAAGAAAGATCTTATTGCAGCAAAAACTCACAACTCAAGGGAAAAAAGAAACTATCTGAAACTTGTTCTTAAAAATAAAGATAAAGTACAATACTATGCGGCTGAAGGCATTATTCTTTTTAAGCAAATGCTATTTAGATATATTCCAGTCAACTTTAATCGATTCTTTTTAACTGTAAAAGTAAAGAACATCCTTATAGGTAATACCCAATATATTAGCAACCATATTCTAGAGGCTTTTCAAGATGTTGGTCAAAAAGCATCTATTAAACCTCTTTTTTACAAAGGAACTACAGTCTGCTCAGATCAATGGTTAGTCACTTTCGAAACTACAGATGATCCAGAAATTGCTTCAAGAATTCCTAGAACTACTCATGTTGGAAATCATAAAGTAACAATGGAATGGAAGGAAGCTCCTAAAATCTGTTTCTACTATAAAAAAGAAGTGCACATCAAAAAAGACTGTAAAGAGCTTAAAAACTCAATTGAAACTAGACAACTTCTTAGAGAAGCCCGAGCCCAAATGGAGATCAACTTTAGTCCTAATAATCCATACAACAAGAGTTCAGATAGCAATATGGAATTAGATTCTTCATCTGCTACTATATCTACAGATGTCGAAATTAATGAAACAACAACAGATCCAAACAATATGATGAAAGAGCCCAGCTCAACTTTATTGAACAAAACAAGATTCCTTTTACTACAGTAATGTCAAGAAAACATAAAGGCAAAAGCCCTAAGAAGAACAGTCAACACAGATTTGGCCAACTATATGGAATTACAGGAAATTCAAAACAAAATTTTTTGGATCTAAGAATCAATACTGAGACCCATCTCTTAGTATAACAAACACTATAACTTTTATGATTAAAATCGCTATATTAAATGTTAAAGGTCTAAACAACAGACCTAAAGTTTTTTTTTTTTTTTATACTGATGATATAACCATCTTAGGGCGTGTGTGGCGCTCTTTTATTTATGAAATTATTAACATTTATATACATTGTAAATATTTACATATAGAGTTTATCTGTAGATTGCTATTTAAATTTGAAGTTATTACTTTTATCTCCTTGGAGATGCGATTTCTAATATATGAGGGTATTACTGTTTCTGGTATTATTGAGTTGCCCCACTTATGTGATGTAAACCAGCACCAGATTTCATAGATTGTGTTTGTGTGAAGCCAAAGAGCTGCTTTATGATACTTAGGATCCTTAAGGTTTTTTGCTGTGAAAATTTCTTCAATTGAAGATTTAGAAGCTTATAAGCTTTATTCCATATTCTTTTACTTGTATCGCACTCAAGCGCAAAGTGTTCTATTGTTTGGAGTTCATCTGGACACCAAAAACAATCTTCTGATTCTGTTGTAGATATATGCCGAAGCCGGTATCCTAAAGGGAGGGCCTTGTGGTATATGCACCATAATATATCTTTTTTCTTGTTGTTGGCTGCTTTGGTAAATAGCCAGTCCATCTTAATTTTTGTTGAAAGTATAATATTTGTTGGAGCAATTATTTGTTTTCTTAGAAATCCTATTAGATTTTTTACTGTAAAGTCCATATTTTGTTTTTCGTTAACCATGAGGTCTTCTATCTTCCAAAGCTAGCTGTAATTTGCTTTAATTTTTTCCTGAATTTTTTTTCATGCTGCCAGATATGGTTTCCATTCTGTTGGCCAGGCTTTAGATCTGATTGGGATTGATGTTAGTGCTTGTAGTGCTGTAATGTCCCTCTTGTGTCTTAAGGAGGAAGAGATTCTGCTTCGTTCAATTTTTGCCTATAGACAGTCACCAGTTGTTAGTCTTATCTATACAGTTAGCATTCTTGCATCAAGTATATTGCTAACTACTGGGGCTTGAAGACCTCCATATTCGTATGATAACTGAAAGGTTGAGTACCTAAGAAGCATTCTTGAATTACTTTTGATCCATATAGTGATTAGCCTGTTGATTTCTGCAACTTGCTTTCTGCTCAGAGGTAAAAGGTATGCCGCATACCATATTCATGCAAGTATAAGCAAGTTTGCTACTAGGATTTTTTCTCTAAAGGAGAGGTTTCTTTGAGAAAACTTGTCTGTAAGACTTTTAATTTTTGTGATAACTGTGGTCCATAGGTCTTTTTTGGGTGTTCCATCTGAATATATTTCATAACCTAGTATTGTGATTGCTTCTTGTTCTGTCACCTTTGTAAATTGTTTTTCTTTTGTCAGCTCAACTCTTCTGGCTATAACCGTAAGTGGTACTAGTTTTGTTTTGCTTTTGTTAATTTTAGCATTAGAAGCATTTTCATATATATGAAATAATTCTAGTACTCGGTTACAATCTGAGGGAGATCCTATCCCTATTGATAGATCATCTGCATATGCTACTGTTTTGAAATAATATCCTTGCACTGGTATTCCTTGGATTTCATTTTCTATTGCTTTTAGTAATGGTTCAAAAGCTATAACATAAAGGAGAG